GTCAGGCCGAAACTCGGTAACGGGTTGTTATGGCCACATAAGTAAGTAAGTAAGTAAGGTTGGTACAGAAAACCTGCCACAATAGGTGATGAGATGGTGAAATATATTAAAAATTTGAATTTTTATATATATGCTGCTTACAAGTACAAATAACTATACATGTCCTAAATGTTATTAATGTTATGTAGAATCTTTTCCGAGTTAATGCATCTGGGCAATTTTACTCTACGATGGCTGGGGGGTAATTTGAGTATTCCTCATAATCGCCGTGATTACTCAATGATTGATCTAAGATCTGCGTACCGCCCCGTTCGGTTAGTGATTACTCTGAGATTACTCTGAGTGCTAAGTAGGGCAACCTGTCGGTTTTCACATATAGCTTCAGAGCTCTGTCCCTTATGTATTTTTTGATCGAATCTATTCTAAGGTCTCTTAGCATGTCACTCGTGCGGATGTACCATGGCACTTTGAAGAGCTTCGGAGAGCTTGACTTTGAGCAACTTATAGTACCTAAATGTGTGCCAAAATAGTTTTGAAAGTTCACACAACATAAAATTAACTCATTACTATCAGTTTTAGATACAATTTCTATGGTTAATAAAGACTTTACCGAAAGTTTATAAAGTGCAATAGTCTTCTGCTCTTTGCCATATGATCATCAGAGTTAATTACATGAGACTTTTTAATGAAGATCCTACACTGCAATCAATGCATTTTTGATGATGGCATAAAACTTAAACTGTTGTAAACCAGGCAATTTATTGATAAGCAGCTACTTAACTTCTCAAATTTAATAACTACTAGACTTTTTATATTGTGATACTGTGATGCTCTCACGTAGCATTGGCTGCACTATCATTCCCATGCGTGTAGCATAACATGATCATCAATTTGGTTTTGTAATGTGCAATTAACAAGATTTCACCTTTTCAGGTGTCTGTGCTCATTGTTAAAGCCACAAGAGAAGTAGCGATAAATGCTGGATTCAACGATTCGACGATTCGACATTACTTATCTTAATTGGCTCTTTAAATTTGTTAAATTGTTTATTAAATCATTAAATTATGCACAAAATCATATAATTTTCGAATTTTCAAATGTTCAAATGTTCAAATTTTCGTATTTTCGCTTTGAATGCTTAAAAATAAACATGAAATTAATTCGTTGACGCTGTGGCATTTGCACTACAAAATTTTGACGCCAACAGTCCTTAACGATTTACCAGTGCACCAGTCCCCTCAGTTTAGTAGTGTACCTCGACTGAGATTTTGCTCATGCAATGTTATGGAATGGAATGACTAGGATTGAATTGGAATTGGAATATGCTAAACGTGCTTAAGGTTGCCAAAGTGCCAAAATGCCACTCGCCACACCTAAATCTCATAAACGTGGTCTTGTCTTATTGTCGCAAATTATTGTTGCACTTGTTGCTGCCTTCATGGAAGTCTCGTTTCAGTTGTTGTTTCAATTGTTGTACTCCATCCATAGCGGTATTTACGCTTCAAATTGTTGTTGAGGCTGTTGTTGGCTGCTGGCTTTGTTGCCTTTGTTGGCTCTGTTGATATTGTTAATTAGTTTATATTTTTCTAATAGTACAACTTTTTGCATATATAGTTTTTTATTGTTGAAATGATAGGTGTGGTTATTTGTGGCGCTTGGAGGGAATGAATTAAACGAATTATTCCTTAAAAAGTCGATTGTGTCTGTGGTAGGAGTATGGGAAAATATTTTTCATAATTCACAATGCAATTGCAGTAAATTACAGAAATTATTAAATTCATTAAAGATTAACTTAAATTTTTATTATTATTACTAATATAATCACTTTGTTGGTGCTTTAAGTCAAAATTTAAAGGGCAACTTGCAGGGAGTATGAATTTCAAACAAAAACGAAAGTTTCTTCTTGCCGCCAGCAAAAGTGTGAGCAACATTTCAACTTAAGTAAACGATGGTGCACCCAAGAATTTCTTGGTGTTATTTAATGTTTCACAGCATATAAATATGGTACATATAAATAAGCCGTGCACAGAGGATAAGGAGGCCAATCTCAAAGTAGCTCAGTTAGACAAGTGCAGTCGGTTGTATAAGTTAAATGTGGAACGAGCAGAAATGTTTACAAGACAGAGCGACATTTCAAAATATTTCTGCTACATCAACTCTGCTTTTATTCAATATGAAGCGAAATCAACGCACAGGTTGACGTGGCTACAATAAGTACAATAAGAGTAAAAAGTTTATAATTCCAAAAACAAAAAAAGAAAAAGATAAATGCAAGACAAAAGATCAACTTTGAGGAAGCACTTGGCTGTTGGATGTTGTGTGGTTCACTGAAGCTCAACACGGCAAACGTATAAATTCCAAGCATGTCTCTGCTGCATATTCATGAGAATCGATGCCTTTGTGTTTTGGTATGTGGGAGTCTGCAATTTCGTTTGCTTCATGATGTATTGTGGCATCATTGGGAAGCTCTTAGATTGGTGTTTCTTTTTTATCGCTTGCAATAATTTTACATTTTCTCCCATTGAATTTTGCACTAGAAATGTTGCTTGCTTTTGACATGCAGCAGTTGCTGCAATTACTGCACGAGATTGTGATGCTTCATGAAGTTAGGAGTAACGTGCAAAGCTAATACTAATACAGGGTGCAAATTTTAAGGTCAAATTTTTTAAGAGTATTGCTAATTATGCAGACGTATGGTACTATGGTACTAAAAAAAAAATTCAGCGGCTACGCTGGCTTAATCATGTCGTGCGAAAGTGCTCCGGCTAAAAAGGTATTTGATTCGGTACCCGTAGGTGGAAAACGCGGTAGAGGACGTCCGCAACTTCGGTGAAAGGACCAGGTGACCAACGATTTGGAGGCGCTGGGTACTAACAACTGGCGTCAGAAAGCAATTAATCGGGCTGACTGGCGGAGGCTACTATACGCGGCCAAGGACGACCCACGTCTGTGATGGCCAACTAAGTAAGTAAGTAAGTATGGTACTATGGAATGGTATGGTAACAGCCATATTATGGGTGATATAAGAAGTAACCGCCGTTTTTAGTGTATTTTTAAAAAAAATTCAATATTGCTATCTTTGAAAATCCATCTGCCCCGTTAGCAATCTACACCGTTAGGAGAACCACTACTTTAGAGTATATATACCTATAAATAAATATAAATTTCTTTCTAGAAATTGATAATATATGAAAGTTATAAGAAAGGTTAATGTAATTGAATTAAAATTATAGTACTTCATAACACCATTATATGAACTTTGTATTATGGGTTTTGATTTTAATCTGGAGACTATAGAGCCAGAAAGCAACTGTTAAGTCATATGATTATAATGCTGATGTAATTTTTTTTGATACATGTTGTTTAGTACATGTATGAAGCAATAACCTCTGTAACTATAACTAATAGTATGTTATTGCGATATCTGTAAAAATAGCTTAAATTTTAAGATTGTCCTGGATACGTAAGTCTTTAAGATACAATGGCGTAACGGTTATTTGTCTGAATATTTTAATTCAAATTTTCTGCATTTTTCCAACCTAAGAGCTGCATGCTGACGGTCAAGTGTAATGCTATAAAATCAGGTATATTATATGATTGAATTGTAAGTCAGGACTTTTTTCTCGGGTTATGTTTTGGATTCCCGATAATAGGTCAGTATTACATATAATATATGTAATTCACATATAATATATGTTATATTGTTATCATAATTACAATAATAACTTTTATTTCCTTTTCAGAATAATTATGCAATATCTTTACTACATTTGTTTGATGGAAACTTAAATCACCCTGTATAAATCTATAATAAAGCAAAAGCGTTTAGTCAAGTGATAGTGAAAAATATTGCAATAAAAGTGATTTTCTTAGCATTATTTTCTTTTCTTTTTTCACATAGAAAAGTAGGAATTTTTCTTTATATTGTTTATATTATTACATTTGTTGTTGTTTTTATCGTTGCTATTATAGTTGCAATTGTTGTTGCTGTTGTTATTGTTGCTGCTGTTATTGTTACTGTTACTGTTACTGTTGTTGGACTAAAATATTTTAACATTTTGGGAAGTTGTTATCAAATTGGATGTTGTTGTCGCTTTTATTGTAATATATTTATGTGGTAGTCGTTATCGTTTTTTACAAGTCCGTGTTCAACTGTCTGTTTCAATATTGTATTGTTATGTACATATGTCTGTCCAGCTGTCTGTATATATGTCTATAGTAGTAGTTTGTCTGTCCACTTTTGTCTACTCGTTTGACAATTTTTGTCTGTTCCTTGTCTCGTTCGTCTACCAGAGTTGACAGTTGGTGTTGCTTTATAGTGTCAGTGATTTTGTATGCCATAAAGTAAAGTCAGTAGCAGGCATATGGCTTGTTAAAATAATATATATATATATATATACTATACTTATATATATGTATATATGTAATGCAATTGCAACTTGCATTCAGATACTTCAGTCAGCAATTTTGTAGAAATGTCAAAAGTTTTTTTTTTTGTCTTTCAACTTTTTTATTCAAATATTTTTTGGTGATAATTTAACTTGAGGAAGTTAAAATTTGCATAGAAAAATGGAAATTAACAAGATTTGTTAACATTTTTTCCAAATTATTTCTCGTGTGTTGATTCCAGTTACTGTGTATTTTTACTCGCCATTATGACAATTTTAATGTGATGTAATTTAAAATTGTGCATTTCACATTTTATTATATTGTTGCATTTTATATTTATACGTTTTTATTTTTACAATAAAACTTACTTATTTTTTTTCAGAGTCTTAGACTTTCTTATAAAATATTTAGCAAAAAGGTTGAAGCACGTATTTTTTGATTTAGTCCAAGGCAAAATTTTCATCCAAGAAACTGCAAAATAAAAAGAAATATAATATATAATAAATGTAGGAAATATATAAAGATAAAAGAAAAAAATTATATTTAATAGAAGCATATAAATTGGTAATAAATATTTTCACATACAAGGAATTGAACTTTTTAAATATTAAAATCTGTGACCTCTTCAGGCGCACACGTAATAACTCATACGCCTTGGCTTACAAAATTTATAAAATGTGATGTGACTCTATAAGGCAGATAAAAGCAGAAGTTGATAGCATTTTCTAAATATTTTATATCACACATTTTCACCAAAGTTTAAAAATATTGACATTAATTTCTCAGAAAAATGGTTTTTTTAAATAATTTAATACTATAGGTTTAATATGATTATAATCATATTTAAAAAATTGCAAATTACTAGAGACTACGGGATGAAGAGATCTATCCCGATGGATAAAGCTTAAACTTCATAGGTTGCATATTCTACAGAATGATGAAACAGCATATTAAGTTTTTGGTAGAAAATTTCTATCTAATTTCTTTGGTCTTCTATGACTATTGCACTCGAATGAACCGTTAGTTGTATGGACCTTATCAGGACATTAAAATACTTCAGCGAATTAACATTTAGAGGCTTCGCTGACTTGGTCATGTCACAGGAATTAATGATATTGCTACAGTTAAAAACATATTTAAGGCTGCAGTTAGAGGAAGAAGGCATTAATGAAGACAGTCTATATGGTAGAGGGATCAAGTTGGGTAAGCACTAACTGTACAAGATGTACGAGTCTGAAGAAGGCGCGCTTGCAGCAAAGATGCCTGGAAAGATATGCTGTATTACGGTCATTTCAGTGAGTAAGTGGGTGAAATGTTGATCGCAAGCGTTGCAAGTTTAGATTTCTGTTGTCTGTTAGATATATACTGTTCTCGAAAAGTGCTTTAATTTTCGGAATTCTAATATACAGGTACATTAAGAAGAACGGTTTCTCTCTTTATTATCTGATTAATAATGTTACTACCCTATATTGTGATGTTGTCAGCGTTAATTTAAATGTTTTCGGTCTTAGAGTGATTTAACTTGTCTAAATACTTCAATTTGACAGTTTTCGCTGGTTTTCAAATTAGTTTATTTTCGGTTGCATACTTTAAATTTAGATCTTCTTTTCGTGTTTAATCATTTGCGTTTAAAAATTTTTCTGCGAACTAACAGGATATGGGTTTAAACTCCACTACGGTTAGGTCTAAAAACACGTCTTAAAACATTTTAAAAAAATGCTTTGTGGTTTTGGTTTAAGAATAAAGTTTGTTTGTCACAAAATCTCCATAAGCTTAGCTCTAACTGGTATCGCTAAGAAACAATACCTAACTGCCTGAATTACAGTCACCAAAATTAACCTAATGTAAGCTTTTCTCATCTTAAACTCATCTATACATATCTATTCCGGATTTTAACTGAGAGTCATTCTCATCTTGTACGCTTGTTTTTTACTCAGCAGGTTTATAAAGACTCTTTGTACCATGTTTCGGAACTACGTCTGAGTTGCCACGCAGTTATCTGTACGGATAGGAATGCCACAGATATTGGCTTTTGGTCGGAATTTGACTCATGTGAGGTAAAAAAAAGACAAAGGATGATATACGTCTGTGTATTTATTAGTCGGCTATTATCTGTGCGTCTAAAGAGATATTGATAAACTTGCATTTTAATTATTTGCTGGGTTGGGTTAGATAAGGGTGGTAATAGTACTAACCAACAGATTTTTATAAATACGACTGATGATAGATATTTGGCGATATCCAAAAACGACTGTTTTTAAATTCACTTGATTAATAAATAGTTAATTGGTATTACGACCGATATTTAATTAGTTTGTTATATTTTTACCAGGCTTGGGTCGTTTATTCAACACATAAATTTATAAAAATGTTTTTTGAAATATATAAAAAATTACACTTTTTAAACTGTGTTAAATGTTTAATTTATTTAATTATTACAAAAAAATTGTTTTAATTACAAATATTTCGGTCCATCTTCAGTGTATATATGATTAATAAATATAATAATTAAATTAGTTTAGTGTATTAATGACAGAATTCACCTTTAAAAAAGTTGTCACATTTTTAGTTTTTATTTTATCCAATGTGATAGATTTATCATTATTATTTCAAATTTAGACTCAATATTATTTATTCTCTCTGGTATCTTTTTTAGTACTATATCAAATTGTAAAAATAACATATAAATGCAGTAAAAGCTTTTATTTAATCCTATCATTAATTTTATATTGTAATTATTGTTTTGCCTAATAACAGTTTTGAAAGCATATTATAGTTTTTCAGCATGAAATTCATATATTACTGTTGTATTCGTCACCATATATGTCTCATATAATATGTTATTGTAATGGAAAACTTTTTTGTTAGAATTTATTTCAATATAAATTTTTTTTTTCAATTTTAAAATATATTTAGATTCACAATTCATATATAATAAACTTTGAACATTTAAATTCAAAGTCACAAATGCAGTCCATAATGCAATAACGAAATACTCACTCAACATATTATTTACATTATTACAACTCGGTAACCTACTGAATGTTGTTATATATTTTTAGTTTTTTTCTATGTTAAACATTTTTTATGTTAACATATTGTTTGCAGTCCTTCAACCGTGACACATAACAGAGAATGTTAAAAAGATTTATGTGTGGCTGTTGGTTTTTAAAAATGTTTCCTTAACATCACAAATGTTATATTGCATATTGCATTTAATGTTTTACTAAAGGAAATGTCAATTTAAAAACAAACCAAAAATAAAAAAATTGGAATAAAAAAAAAATTAAACAACATTGTAATTATTTTTTCATGATTTTTGCGATTTTTGTGTGATTTTTGAATTTGCGGCTATTGTGGCGTATGAGTAATGTTAGAGCGAAGTAGTAATAATGTTGAGTAAGAACTTCTCATGTTGCTCATATAACTTAGCACGAACATTTTTATTAACAAAATAAATTATTTTAATTATTGTATATATTATACGTTTTCTCGCCTGAGATACTTGCATAATAGTGTCTGTACTTGCATTGAAATATTTTTAGTATTTAATTGGACTAAACGGTGGCGTAACCAATTACAACGTCATAAATTAACAAAATATGAAAAGCAGCAACGGTGAAGTTCCTGCGATTATGCAAATTGCCAACAACAAATAAACAACATTTTTCGCATGTGTAAACAAATTACAATTAATAATTTAAATAAATTAAAGCTTATTGGTTTTTACAGACAAGAGTTCGAAGTGTTATATGATACCAGCAACGATTTATGTTGGCCGATATTATACATATACCAAAAACAAAAAAATTTTGTAAAAAGTAATTTAAATTTGTAGTAAAAGAAACCAATATTGTGGCACCCACATATGTAGTGTATATGTTAAGCAAAATCTAATTAATGAACCAACATAACAGCAGTTAAATTTTATTTTACTACCGAGGAATTTAAGCCAATTTGACTCAATACACCGCAATTCACCACAATTCGCCACAATTTAATATTAATTATTTATGCAAAAAAGTAAATGCTAAGATTAATTGTTATTTATTATTTTTATAAACAAAAAAAAATTTAAAAGCCGTTTTTTTGTTTAGGTTTCATTTAAAAAATCTGATCATGTTAATTAATTTTTCATAAATCAGCCTCAGCACATTAGGAATCAATATTAACCACAACAACTTCAGCCGCCGCATCAGTCATGGAGCGATGTGGGCTCGTCTCATTAAAACCCTCAATTTCAGTGTGCAAGTTTTGAGTAGGTCAGGTACAAGTTCCTCACCGAAAACAATACAAAACCGTGTATGCATACACGGCTGTTTTGATTAATAATTTCATTGCTTATAATTTACTCATGGGAAACTTTAAGGCTGTGCGCGGTTATATGAAACCGTACTGAAAAGAAAAAAAAATAACAAAGTCGCGTACATTATATTACAAAATTGCATTAATTGCAAAAAATATACGCTTTTTTTATCCAAAAAATAATGTTTTTCCTCAAAAAATTTGCATTTTGAAAATTTAATTTCAAAAGTTATGAGGTATAAAATACGATTTTAGTACGAGTACTTGCAGATACTTATTCGCACACACATGCGACGCAATTGGAGTCAGCTGCAGCATCAAATTACATGCAATCTATAATCAACTTGGCCAACGTGTTGCTGATATTCCGTCCGATATTGCTTACGCTGCTGCTAGTGTTGCTAGTGTTGTTAGTACTTTTGTAGTTACTGCTGTTGCTGTTGCTGTTGTCGTTGTCGCTGCTGTTGCTGTTGCGTTTTTAAGTGAAAGTCAGTCAATTGCTGAGAATTTGTTGGTGCATGCGCATGCGCATGTGATTAAAATAAAAAATTATGTATGTAGCAAAAAGATATAAAAATATAATCTGCAGCCAGCAGCAGATAACCTTCAAGGTGAGTCTTTATTTTCTTTGATTCAAAATGCCACAAAAATAACTCATTTATAAAATAATCTCAAAGTTATTGGTCATCGTAGGTAATACGTCGGTCAACTTTATTGGCGCGTATGCTTTGACAAATGCATTGCTTGAGGGAGTGTTGCCATTTATTTTGCGAAATTTATTGATTTCGCGTTATGAGCTCAAGTAGTTAAAGTAGAAGTTAAGCTGGTTTTAATTATATTTTTTATTGCTCAATTAAGACTTGACAAGGTTTGACTAATTGCATACTTTAGACTGTTGGTGGGAAAATATTTATATTTTTGTTTCAACTGTGCGTTACACATAGTGAACAAAATGACATTGAGCACTATGAGTTGTCGATTCGCACAAAACAATTCATATGAATCGGTGTGAGTAGTGAAATATGGGTCATTTGTATTCAGTTGCAATAAGAGTAGACAAAACTAAATGTTAATGGACCAAAACCAAGTTACTGTGTTAACCACTACAAATTTTTGCAATAATAATGATGATTTATGTTAAAATAATTGACAGTGCAACATTTAAAGCAAAGTTTTATAAAGAATCTTATTGTTGTTAATAAATGTCAAATTTTACTCTATCCGAGAACCTGATGATGTAACACTATTTTTTATTCTAATAATTATTTTTTTTTATTTTAATGTTATTAAATATATTCGTTCACTACATCTGTTCTTGAGAATATAAAATAATATTGTAAAATATTTATTAAATTTTACAACTATTTGTAATTAAGATAATGGAAATTGCTTGTTACAAT